TGCCAAGGGAGGTGGTGGAATCTCCCTCTCTGGAGATATTTAAGAACAGGTTAGATAGACATCTGTCAGGGATGGTGTAGATGGAGCTTGGTCCTGCCTTGAGGGCGGGGGGCTGGACTCGATGACTTCTTGAGGTCCTTTCCAGTCCTATTATTCTATGATTCTAAGTCACATCCTCAGATATGTGAGCACCATTCCCATTAACTTCAACAAGATTACACCCGTATATATCACGGAATAGATGAAGAAGTGCAAAGTACTAATTAGTATATTTGTAGTGAATATAGATAATTAGGTCCTATCTCCCTGATGTACTATCCTATCATTTCTTAATGCTCCACACAGCTATATATTTGCAGTTATATCAGTATAACTATGAAGTATTTTCTTTGAAGTCAATGTAATTAAAAACAAAATGTGTCTTTCTAAGCAGGTATTTAGAGCTTCAATAGTTTTCATTTGTATCCTGTAATAGGGGATTCAGATCCTTCATATTTTAGTTACTACACCAACAATAGTTCTCTGAACTGTTTTGTTAATTTGTGGAGTCGTCATTACAACATACAGGAATTCCCTAAAAATAAAGGGTGGGATTAAAACATTTAGAATGAAATCTTGATTACCCTTCTTAAATAATTTTTTTTCTAAACTTTTAGTATTTGGCTTGCAGAATTCAGTTTTTATTAAAAATTTGGATGGATACATTTTTCATTTTTATCTATTTCAATGTTCACAGTCAGACAAAACCAATTTAAATTTTCACAACTGTGGAAAGTTATGGGGAGGGTCAGAATTTAATGGCTGTAAATGCTGAGATTCAAAAAGTTAAAGCTTTATAACTTAAAATATAAAATGTCAACATCACATATCAAGATATACAAAGTAAATATCCTTAAATCTGACTCTAATTAGTTTACAAGAAGTATTTTTCTTACTTTGCCTATCTGTGCTTTTCAAGCATTATTAATGGAACTATTTTTGTCAATGTGTGTGCGCATGGTGAAGTCAACATTTACTGTCAACATGTTACAATCTAATCCTTCCAAGCCTATTTGTAAGGGATAAAGAAGATCTGAAAGGTGTTTTTTTCTTAAGATTACATAGACACACTTATTTTTTTCCTTAGGAATATCAATTCTGATTACCCCCGGTTTTGCTGGAGGATGCGCCAGATGTCACAGAGGAGAAATATTGTTTGCTCTCATCACTGAAAGCTGTTAAACAAAAACAAAACAAAAAGGGCCAGATTCTGCCAATCCTACATACATCTGGCTCCCGGTATTGTACCATCTAAGTCAATGCACTATTTGTGCATTCTTAATCATGTTGATTAGTACTTAATTCCACAAAGAGCACTAAAGAGTTTCACTAAATTTCATTTATCTTCACTGCTCAGCCATTCACTCTCTTGATTCTTGTGATACCTGCCCTTCACTAGTTCTCCAACAACCAGTCTTGCAGGCTAAACAAGATTTTTTTTTACTATAAAAACAAGGCTAAAAAAATAAAATTTCAGCTTTTTATACACATCATGAAAAAGAAAAACAAGGTACAAGTCTTTCCCCCCCTTCAGCCTTCTTAAAAGTAAACTTGAAGAATTTAATTTAAATGGATCTAAACTGACTTTGTGGGATTTTTTTAAAATATTTATGCTATTAGCTTTAATGAAAGTAGTCATGTAGGACGTTAAGCACATGTACTGGTGTTTGAAGGATCAAGCCTATCACAACTACATTTTAGTTCCCTCTCTTGTCAAGATTTAGCAAGCCATTTTAGCAGCATGCCTATTTTTAAAAATACATACTTTACCTATTCAAAATTATTTTTACACCCACAATAAGTTGTCAAGGTCATGCATAAAATTAAGATTGTGCATAAACATTTGCAAAATTAAGGCTATACCACCTTTTCCTTTATATCTCACCACTACATGCAGCATAAACATGCTCACTAAAACATAATGGTGGCTAAATATTTTAAGGGAAAATTAAATATACATCTAATGAGGCTTCCTGTATATACCTTCCCAACAAAAACTTGCCCACATACACCACTCACTTCCCACATTTTGCAACCTAGTTTTGGTGATGCTGGGCTGCCTATTCAATCCAATTTTACATCAGCAATGTATATGTGCTGTGTCACTGCTGTGCTTTTAGAAGCATAACTTTAGCTCTTCACACACCCACACTGGTGTCTGCACTGATGGGAAAGCATGTATTGGGAAACTGTACTTACTCCCTTTGCTTCTTCTCTTCAATAGCAAAGGCAGGATTGCTTTCTCCTTCTCTGCCCTAGGAGTAGTTAAAACAGCAATAAAACCACCGAGGATTAGGTCACGTGAGGCACTCCTGTCTTCATTGTAAGACTGAGGCTACTCTGGCATCTCACCAGAGGGGAAGAAGGTGTCACATTCATCCAAACAGGGACAGCAGGAGCATCAAGAATCTTGTTTTTACTGCTGATTTTTGGGAAATCACCCACTGCTGCACTAACATCAGCACAGCTGCACCATTCTTCTACAGTGGTGATTTTAATAAAATCTGATGTATCAGAAGTCAGGAAGGAGCACACCTGTGGCAACTGGGTGGGCAGGAAGATGTCTAAGAGCAGTTCTTAGAGCATCCTAATCTTTCCCTCCATACTTTGCTAAAACTACCCACTGTTTATACTACTTGTATAGCTACATCAGTTCACATTGATGCCCTGTCTACATTGTGGGCTCTACCATTGATATCACTGGTGGAGCTGAAATGAGGGTAGCAATCCCTGGAACTTCAGAGGGAAAATGCCCTTCTAAACAAGACTACGGAAGGGGAAGCATGTCTGGGTGGGAGGTGGCTGTTTGACTCAAAAGGGATGAAGACAGCGAGACGGCAGCAGGCCTGGGGAAAGTGAACATGAAGAGAAATTACATTAAAGGGTAATCTGGAAGTCTCTGCTGTGACACCAGAAACAGAGAAAGGCAAAGAGATTAGGAGACGACTGTATCCCAATTACAATTCCGTTGTCTCAATGAGGTAAAGAGAAACTAGCATCTTTCTACCAAATATCCCAAGAGCAGTTCAAAACTTCCCTTGTCTAAGACTTACCTGGTGGTAATTGAGTTGTACCACTAACAATAGTGGTGTAGTGAGATAGGTTGGGGATCATCAGTGGCTGAAAATTTAGAGCGTCTCCTTCCAGAAAGCAAGAGAGAGGGGATATGTGAAATCAAACAAGAAGGAAGCTGGATTTGCTTTTCCTGAAAATATTTTATAGTGATATCGCTCATAGTTCCATTCTAGTGAGCGAGAACAGAGGAGCAGAGCAAACTGTTGGCGGAGCAAGAGAGGTTCATTCACAAACAGCGGATTGCAAAACACCATGCCAGGGGCAGAAGAACGGTTCAGCTCAGTACTACATGCAGTGTAGGTGTAGTCCTGGGGGTCTCAGGATAAGGACTTGGTCCAATAAGAGACATTATTTCCACCTACCTTCTCTCTCTGGTCGCTATTAGACCGTCAGCTCTGGCGAAACCACGTCAAGTAACCAGCCTGAGCAGAAAGTTTTCTCCCCGCTGCTCTGCAGCCCTGAGGCAGGCCCTTCCCACGCCTGGGCTAGGCAGCCCAGCGGTTCTCTCAGCCTAGCAGGGCGGCTCTCCTCGTGCTGCCCAGACCACCTCCCCTAGGCTGCGGGCACCTTGCTCAAAGGACCCGCCCTCGTCGCCCGCAGACAGGCGCTGGAAATGGGGCGCTTCGGAGCGGGGCCTCACACCCCAGCCCTGCCCCGTATGAGGCAGGCCCTTCCCACGCCTGGGCTAGGCAGCCCAGCGGTTCTCTCAGCCTAGCAGGGCGGCTCTCCTCGTGCTGCCCAGACCACCTCCCCTAGGCTGCGGGCACCTTGCTCAAAGGACCCGCCCTCGTCGCCCGCAGACAGGCGCTGGAAATGGGGCGCTTCGGAGCGGGGCCTCACACCCCAGCCCTGCCCCGTATGAGCCCCAAGGCCAGACACGCCCCTTCCCCAGCCCCCGGCACCTGCGCGTAGCGCTGCGGGAGGCTACCAGAGCGGGGAGCACACCCGGGCCTGTGAAACACCCCGGGCAGAGAGCGCGGCGCCCTTCGGGAACGGGCCGGGCGCAGGCACCTCCCTCGGCACGTTTCTGGGCAGCCAGGCCCACGGGGAAAGCAGCCTCCCGGCCGCAGAACGCGGCTGCCTGCACGTGGGGCGCTGCGCTCCGGGGGGAAGCGGGGCTCGGGGCCCGCTGCGCTCTGTCCCCCGCTCCTCTGCTCAGAGCCAGGGACTGGGCGGTGCGTGCTGCGAGCACTACTGAGCGCACTCGCAAGGGGCTGCAGGGCCGGGCGGGTTGCAGGGTGCTGCTCCCCTGCTCCGTCAACCGGCGCAGGCCTGCCCGGCCTAAGCAAGGCCGCCACCTCCCAGACTCAGACCGAGCCAGCGCCACGCGCCCTGCTGGCGGAGCCGATGCCACAAATCCCGAGCGCCAGGCCGCAGCCTCCAGCGCGGCGGGACCTCTAACCCAGCCCCAGGAGCAGGGGGTCGTGCCCCATGTACATATATGTGTTAGCCAGCGTCCCCGCCCAGGCCTGGCCGAGCAGCTCCTGCGCCTGCCAGCTTGGAAATGTGTCAGAAGGAAAAGCGCTAGCGAACGGCTCTGAAAACTGCCACCATGCGTCCTGCTGCCTTTCTTGCCCGGCCCTAAAGTCCCGGGCGACCCACAGTAAATACCGCAAGAGGGCATGGGACGCGATTCCAGTGTAGAACCCGCTGCTAGCGCCTCAGGGCTGACATTAAGCATCGCTCGCCCTAGATGAAATGAGGGTCTAGGGAAGCTTTGCAAACAATAATCGTAGGTTTGAAACTGTTGCGGGGAGGTCCCTGTAAAGAAGCATCATCTTCCAGAAGAGCGAGCTATGGGAGGAGAAGAGAAGGAAACCCACACCACACCGCATTGGAAGTTGTAGTGTATTTAGAAAGTTGCAACTGTTCACGGCGGGACTCTTCCCAGGGCTGGATTAAAAAAAAAATCTGCTTTTATTTTTTAAAATTGTATCTCTCCCCCAGTGCTAAAATTATCACACGCTGAATTTAGAGACTATTCAAGTCACCCATTGGCCCCATTTACAATACGGGAACTTGCACCCTTTCCAAACTATTCAAACTCTGGTAAAATAACTGCATGCGCTGCTTTTTCTAGGCTATAGAAACTATGTTCGCAGCACCGGATTTAATAAAGTGATTATAAATAGAGATAAATAAAGGCGCCGCCGTATACCTGTGCAACACCTCCGCAACATCTTTTATTTACAAGAAATCACCTCCGGCCAACGTACACTATATACAGATCTCTTTTCCCTCCAACAAGGCAGAGCGTGTGCAAGTAGCATCCTTTTGTGCAAGTCCCACAGTCCACGACAAGGGTCCATTTGTAAGGTATCAGCTATCGGAGTCCAAATCACTTTTGCCTTCTTCTTGTCTCTTTTCTGGGGACGTTTTGGACGCTTTATTCCATTTCTGTGCGTTTTCTGATTCCTCCGAAGAGGATCTCTTTTGCCTTCTCCATTTTGCCCGGCGGTTCTTGAACCAAACCTGTCATGCAAAAAATCAAATCATTATAGGAACACCACCAATATTTGGTTCACTTAGGCAGCCTTTCCAGACTGTGATCGTGACACCAGTTCTGCATGGCATACATGTCTTGACTCGATTCGCTTTCGTTCGGTTTAAATGGAAAAGCAGAGAAATTATAATCGGTTAGGTTTATTTCTAGTTTAAGGCAAACCACGTTTAAAAGGGGGTGATTGCTTATCGATAGTTCCTAATTATCTGAATGAGCGGTTTGTTTATCCAATTACAGAGAGAAGCTTTTTGCCCCTCTTGTAAACCTGTTGCATTCTCTAGCTTGTCTTGGACAATGCGCGGCGAGGTCTGCAGCTAGATTAGGCACGGAAACTGAGATAACTTTTAACTGGAAAGGGGGGGGGGGAAATACCTCTACTTTTTCCTCTCGTAAATGCACCCTCCTGGCCAGCTGTTCCCTGGTACCCACGTCTGGGTATTTAGTTTCCTGGAAGAGGTTTTCCAAAGCTTCCAGCTGCTCGTCAGTGAATATCGTCCGGTGCCGTCTTTTCCTCCTGCAGTGCAGCTGGTTCAGTAACTGCAGCTCAGTCCGGGACAAGGTGCCCACGTTCATATACGGCAGCATCTGGTGGGGCACAGGCGACATCAGGACTGAGCCAGTACCCTCGTAGCCTAGGGAGAAAACGACCACACTGTTTGCACTGGACAGAGAGATCCGGCCTGCATCAACCCGGAAAAAAAAACTAGTACCCCCTTCTCACCTACAGCTACCCCGAACCATGGACACAACCCGGGACACACATACATACACACACCCCGAATCAAAGAACGCCCGTGCTAAAAAACCCGAATTCAGGGCGGGGAGGGAGCGAGGCGCGTCCTGCAGACAATATGGGACAAGGAACTGCCAAGGTGGCAGGGTGACACTACTTCGCTGGGATCCCTAGTCGCTTCGGAGAGGCAGGGACCCCAACTCAGTTTCCAGCCAGCTCCCCAAGCCCACACATAGCCAGGCACTCTCCTCGCGAGCCGTCTCAACCCGCCCCCACCCCGGGCTCTCTCAGCTGGGGAAAAAGGAACCGGGCACCTGGCCTGGCTTGCCTGTGGCAGGGACGCAGGAGCACTGCTGCGCTCCCAGAGGCTGCATGGCCCCGCAGCAGGAAGGACCCACCGGGGAAGCCTGCACATGCAGCTGCCCGTAGTAGTAGTTGTTGTAGGCAATCCTAGATCCACCGACCGCGGGCAGGTTGGAAGCGGGGGCCACCGCCCGGGAGTAAAATCCGCTGTACTCGGGGCCGTAGATGGAGTCCGCATGCAGGTTGGAGAACACCACGGGCGCGGCGCTCTGGTGCAGCAGGACCGACTCCTTGCAGCGGGGTCTGGCGGCCAGGATGTTGTCGATGCTGAACATACCAGCAGGCATTCCCCGAACAGGGCTGGGGCGGGCGGGGACGGACGAGACCGAAACTTTCCCGAGACTTTCAAGGGGATCCGAGCGCTAGCAATGCTCGTTTCCCGAAGGCAGCTGTGTGTGCGCGCTCGCAGGAGACTGCCCTGCGACTCTCCCCTCCTCCTCTCTAGCCTGTTTACTGAGTTCAACCCCGAGGGCTGCATGGAGTATAATCCATCTGAACTTCTTCCCTTTTTTATACCCAGGCGACGTCATCCTGGATTTAGTTCCTGGTAATAGGCAGATGACAAACAAAACCAGATTTGACTTTATTTTGGGGAGGGGTGGGGAAGAGGTGGAGCTGGGAGCGGGGGACACAAAGGAGTGAAAAGAGCCTGATCTGTGTATTGAGAATTAATTACATTAACTTAATCCTTTCCATTAGTAGGACTTTTTTGTGTGTGAAAAGGCCCCAGATTTAGGCTTGATCTCTCCGCTGCACCAGCTAATTGCCCAGGTTAATCTGATTAATGCCATTGTGGAGAAGTGGTTAGCAGCTCCTAGCCCTATTATGCACCTACTCTCCTCCTGTTAGTTCACGTTATTAGGTGTGATTTCCTCTGTCTGCGACTCAGATTCGTTATTTATGCTTGGAATTGGTTAGGAAACACTTAAAATAGCTTTCAGAAGAATTATTCTGCGACATAGTTGTGCCATATTTTGTGCAAGGATATTTCGGGGATGGGGTTTGGGTCCTTTGACCGAGGGACCGTAGATGGAGGGATGTGTACTGTGCCTTGTTCTGACTTATATGCAATAAGCTAATTTTTAAAAAAAGCCCTACGATTATTTATTTGGACAATTGTGCTTTATTAAATCAAATCAAGGTAGCTGTTAATGGCTTTAACATTACAAACGAAACATCAGAAACTGAACATTTTAGTAACAACAATGTCATCTAAAACATGGTGTGTGGGACAGATTTAGATTTGCTTTAGCTTCATTAAGATGCGCTTTTTTCTTTTCAAGAAAGAATCATTTATTTTCTGTCCTAGAAAACACAAGTCTATGGAGCAGTGATGGTACCGTACTTAATTCTGCATGCCCATTACTTGTAAAGGGCGCGGTTTAATTCCCTTAAACTGTTGATTAAGTCGCTTGTCTCTCTTGGTAGCTGGCTCCTGTGATTTGTAGAATACTCGGTCTGTCACGACTGTCACTGGGAATCCACAGGAGGCAAACTGAATAAGATTAGACTATTTGCCCCATCAACCCTCTATCAAAGAAGGTAGAAAATTGTCCGCATGAAATGAAAACAAGCCATTAGGATCTGTTTACGAGGAACAAATTATTTTTACTCAACAAAGAGTGTGCTCATTAACGATAGGTGAAACCTACTTATAGTACTGCCCTTCAGCAGTCAACAATTTCAAATTGGATATGAAAGTGATCTAGACCAGGAGACTCTTAATACTAGCAAAGGGCGTGAATGAGGGTTTTGTGTGTTTTCTTTTTTGGGAGAGAGTTAGTGCTCGCTTTTTATTAATAAATCACAATATGATTAATTAGAACGTTTCTTTCATTCTGCTTCTGTTTACTTTGCCGATCAATTGATTTTTTTTTCTGGTGCTTAAATTCAAAAACAACAACACACACACACAACTGCAACCAAAATATTTGATCCGAGCCCTGGATGTAAATTCTTACACAAGGCGGTGAGAGCTGAAATTCACGCAGATTTCCAAATGCAATGTAAAGTGAAACTATTGCCCAGAAGTAAAACGCGTAATTCCCCCGGACTAGTTTAGCGCTCCCAGTCATGTTTCAAATAGAACAGCGTGCTGCAGAATTTCCCGATCTCAATGCTTATTCACGTATTCGTCTGTGGTGCCTCTACTGAACTGCTTAATGCCCCTTAAATCGCAATCGGACTCTCCAGTTCACATGCAGTGCGCGCTGTTTAAATGGGTATCATTCCGTTTCATTAATCGATCGTCTGGGAATGGAAGGACAGAGAAATGGAACACAGAACTAAACGCAACAAGAGTGGAATTGCTATGAAACTGACAAACAGAAGACAGAGTGCTCTTGTTTTGAATACGAAATGGGGAGATTTACCCTACGCACCCGTTTACATTAACAAAGAATACCACTCTACAGTGTACAGTATCTCGAGTTTTCTTAAATAGGGGAGAGTCTTGCATGTTTTTATGACCTATATATATTCTCAGCTGATGTTCTGTGTAAGAAAGAGGGTTACCACTTGGTCCCAGTTGGGTTTTATACCAAACAAGCGAGTGAGTGGGGCTGCTGAACGTCATCTTGGCGTTGTGTTTGGTATAAAAGCAATATTTGTACATCAGAAGGGATGGGATACATTCCTGGGGTAACGGGTAGTCCTGTGGCACCTTAAAGACTAACAAAAATATGTAGGATCTTGAGCTTTCGTGGGTATGACCCACTTCAAAAGAGCTTTGCAAGCCCTTTTCTGATCTGGCCAGCCAAAATACAGAGCCACAGAACTATGCTGCCCGAGGTACCTAATTAGCTGCTATTAGTTTAATTAAGATAATTAGCTATAAAATTTCAAATGCTTTTTTTGCAGTTTGACATAGTTCTTGTTCACGATGCTATGTTAGTGTGAAAAAGCTTGTGGTCTTTCGTGTTAAGGGCAGAATTAAATTATGTTGGATACATTTTGATCCGCTTGAATAATTATTTCAGTTCTTCTATTAGTATTTCCTTGCGGTAAGTTTTTGCATCATAGGACAAGTATGTTACATTAAGTCACAAAGTAGCCGTAATAAAACTGTAGAAGCCTATTCTTTTTATGATCGCCCTGCTTTTTAATGTACTGTTAAGATTTATAATACTCTGCTGAATGCCAGTCTAATAGCTTTCATACTGTCCCTTTCTATAGACATAAATGCAATATTTTAAACAGCTCTTCCTTATAGTTTCCAGTGGTTTTTTTTTTAAATTTCTGCTTAATTTCTTCAAGTAACATTTTTTTTAAAATTTCTGCTTAATTTCTTCAAGTAACATTAAAGCTCTGTATACAAGTCTACAGATGCATTTTAGTGAACTTTAAGCAGAAACTTGATTTAGGCGCACATACACGAGTTTGGAGTTTCTCATTTCTCGTCCACTTTGCACGAACTTACAAGCGTAATAATGCGTTAAACAATCTGTTGTCCCATATTGTCAGAGTGAAATTGGAATAACAAATGAAACTCAAGCAAAATGTGTTGCATAGTGTTGCTAAGCGATTGTTTGTTACTATAACATAGTCACAGCATGGGTTGAAAGATACATCTAAAGAGGAGGACAGTAATGCGCAGACCAAGCTGTTAGATATGAAATAATGTAAACACTGCATTGATTTTCAACATTATTACCCAAACACGATTTCATACAAAGCAATCACCATGCATAAGTCTATGAAAATATGCTTGTTGAGAAGTCAGTCATTTTTATAATAGCCCTCATTTTAAAGATATTAAATAATAGATCAGTGGATTCAAAATATATCGATTTTTGTGAGTTCAGTATATCAAGTCGCTTTTTTGATTACAGCAATAACAGCAATTTATTAGAAGCTGTGCCTCTAACAAATTGCTTCTGTGATTTAAATAGAAATGACAAAAGTTTTTCCGCAGTGAAATTTCTACAAGGAATAAATCGAGAATCTCCACTACCATCCTCACACACCTTCTCGCCCCGCTGAATTATTTCAGAGTTGTCTCCGCAACTTTTTTCATTTACATTTTGTAAGGATGCCAAGCCTTGTGCACTACAGAATTATTTCCTCTACCGTAAACAGGTAACTATAGTCCAGAGGAGATTGATTAATGCATCTCATGTGTTCTTTTAGAAATAGGCTTATCCTTATTTTCTAGATTTCTAAGGGCCGCATAAAAGGTCATGTGCCACCTAATTAAAAAAAGAGTAATCCGTGTTATAACCAACGCTCTGTGCCTGGTTGACTCTAGCAGTGGAACATGCAATAAAGTAATTCTTCTTAAGCAAGCCCCATTTTATGTCAGCGTTAATAACGTACAATGATTTTATCCCCCGGCTTCTTCACACACATTCTTTACACGCCATCAGGACGTTGTTTTAAAACGTCTCTCCAACTTTTGGCGAACAGCCTAGGGATGACCATAATAAAGTTCACGGGACAAACTCAGGTCGCAGACACGTGGTTGTAAATCCGGAGTGACTCCGCTGATTTCAGTAGTCGCTCTGGATTTACACTCCTATAGCTGAGCAGAAGTTTGACCCAGCAGATGTATCAGAAAGACTGGCTGCTGTGGAAAATGATGCCAGCTCATTTAGAGAGAGAAAAATGTCCCCTGGATTGATTTTATTTATTCAACCTGATTTGTTTTAATCTCTAAACACAGTAAAAGGAAAAATCCACCAGAGCCCCAAAGAGGTAATGAAATGTAACACTTCTTAACGAACATCAAATACATGCCATCATTGCAACGATTTGAACTAGTTTATATATATAAAGAGAGAGAGCTCGAGCTCGATCCCTTGTAGAGTGGAGAGGTAGAGGAGCATGGGAGAAAAACAACACTCATGATTTATAATGGGTTAACAAACACTTAAAATAAAATAAAGTACCTTGTACTGCAGTTTAAAAAATAAATAAGTTTGCAAATGTTACCATCACTCTTAGTCAAACATCAGATTTCCCAAAGTTTTTTCAAAATGATTGAATCATTACTTTTAAAAACCCACATAATGCATAATTATGATCATTTGTTCCCAGAATAAACTTATCTTGCACTGATTAGGAAAGTCAGTCATTTGAAAACTAGGCAAAACTGCTAAGGCTGTTCCTAAAACTTCCCTCTAACAATATCAGCTTCTAAAGTTTTCATTCACATAAACCTTATTAATGAAGATCTTTTATTTAAATGTCAAGGGGATTTGAAATTTAGAGTAAATTATGAAGCTTGCATGTCTTGCCAAGTCATGGGTCAAATGCATTTGTGAAAAACTGCTAAAAGAGCATATGGTTTTGAATTTTTCTACAATGACTAGTGTTTAAATAAATTGCTTGTACTGCTTAACTTCATGTATAATTTTGACAGAAATTGGCCTATAGCCTTTTGATATGTAAACATTTCAAGCTTTTATGCCATATAAAAAGACACTTGCTTTTTGGGATCAGCTAAAGCAGTCACCCTGTAATTCAGAAAACTGGCACCTAACATTACATTCTTGCTACATTTCAACTTTCAAGTGGCAGCATAAAGAAAA